ACACATCAACCCTCATCTCTCGGTAGCCAGGGTTATCCATCAGTGTCTTACTTCAAATAAACGCCATCAATAAAGGGCTTTCACTTGAAAATTCCATCTTTGCTACTGTCTACTGCCTTGAACATGACAGATTACCTCCAGCTCCTTATACTGATAAAAAGCATTAATAATCTCTTTACATTACATTATCATTGTGTGATAATAACTCAGCATTTTGGGAAATAAACTTATCTGTTTTCTTGCCAAGAGTTACAATTATTTGTATATGTAAAGTGGATGGATGGCAATGAAATCAAGGATTAATGCAGGCAAATAGAAGGTATGCCTGACATTCTGTTTAACATCAGGTATTTTAATAAGAATGAATGAAATTAGTTAAAAGATAAGTTTGTTACCTACATGAAGGCTGGAACTAGAGGCAGAAAGGTTAATGATAGCTGAACTGGCTCCATCTGCAAGCTACGAGACACATGCAGACAGACATGTTAGCTTGTTAGGGTTAGCCAGTGAAGGAAGGAAAGACAAATTGTATGAAACAAGTAATCTTTCAAAAAATAGGTGTGTAATGATAGAAACACATTCAAAACACACTGTATTCTTAACATCATTAGACATTACATTGTAAAATATCACTGACAGAAACATTATGGTTACCATTTTGTGTTCTCTCAAAAAAGCAACAATTAATCAAAAACCATAGCCTGACTAGACATAACAGAGCTCAGGTTAGATGAGGTCACAGAGAAGCTGAGGAACAGACGAAGAAGAAGAGCAAGACAAGGATGCAGCCATGTGTGGTCTAAAAGGGCATCATGGGTACAAAGAAATCTGCACAAGGCATGCTAGTTTCCTGTTTCTGAGCTTTATCCAAGGCTAAGATAACCATCTCTTTGCTGTAGCATATTAATTGTACAAACATAACATCACTGACCGGTGAAGTGAATAACACTGATTATCTCATTTCAGTAGCACCTGGTACTGTATTTCTAACTCGTCCTCACCACCAGTTTTCACTCCTTCTGCATAAGTTTATCAGTGAATGGTCGACACATTGTGATCTTCCTGACAGTAGAACCATGGAAGCAAATGGATTCACAAAAGATGCACAGTAAGCTGCAGAGTGACACAAGCGCCAACCGTCTGCTGCACGGACTCCTGTGTACACAGTATAAGGCACATAGTCATAATGTTATGGCAGATCAGTGTACTGTGGTGTGAATCATTTCATCTTAACTATCAGCTTTAACACACTGTCTGTAATGCTGTAATATCGGTTTGATCATCCATTATCTATACCACTTATCCAGAATAGATAAGCAGGGGGCTGGAACCAATCCCAGCTGACATTGGAGGAGAGGCAGGGTACAGCCTGGACAGGTCGCCAGTCTATCACAGGGCTAATGCTTAGAGACAGACAACCACACCACACTCACTCCTGGGGGCAATTTAGAGTCACCAATCAACTTAAGCTGTATGTCTTTCTTTGGACTGTGTTAGGAAGCCGGAGTACCCGGAGAGAACCCACGCAGGCACAGGGAGAACATCCAAACTCTGCACAAAAAGGCATTGAGTTGGCCGGGGCTCGAACCTTGTTGCTGTGAATTGGCAGCACACCCGTTGCTCCACCATGCCATTTTAGTTTATAATTATTTATAGTTTACTGTCATTGACATAAAAGCAGTAGACAATATATATGAAACAAAATATTACAATTAGCATTAATTCAGGCATGTACCAAGTATTATGATCATTACAAGTTATTTCTATATCAAAATATTTGGAATGAAACAGTGCAGCATGTTGCACAGGTTGCTGACCAAATGTTGAACCCCCTCCGACTTTAATTACTACACCAAAGTGATTAATCACCAGTTAGGATCTGCAAACATTTTGGGCCAACAAAATGTTTAATTAATTGAATTAAAGTTGTGTTCACTAATGTCCACTTGGACTCATAACACACACAAATACGTGCGCACATGTTTTTTCATTCTCTTACACTGATGCAAATGCTCAGTTGTCTTGTTATGTTTGCAGGGAACAGCATGAAATGCTGAGTGACATGGGAGGTCCAGAAATGTAAAGCAGGAGCAAAGCAAATGTTCATTACTGCGTGTGTGTGTGTGTGTGCCTTTTTAACAGGCTGTTTTGGTGCCTGTGGGTTATGGGATAACAAAAAGGCACATAATTAAAAGAAAAAGACCAGAGGAGATTTAAATTTGATGGAAGGATCACAGAGGGGATAAGTGGTTGATGAACCACAACAATGAACAGAGAGAAAGAAAAAAGAGCAGGAGAACATGAGGAAACCCTTTAATGAGCAACCACATTAAAACTACTGGCAGTTTGATAAATAAAGAAGGAAAGAAAGAATGAGGTAATTTAAAGGAGTAAAGAGAATTATCGAGAGGGACAGTGAGAGACAATGAGTGAGGAGAAAACTGAGGGCAGACGTGGAGAGAGGAGGGAGAGGACGATGACAATGGGGCGATAATGGAAGAAAGTCAAAAGCAAAAAGAAAAGGAAGGAAAAGGAAAGTGGAGGATAGAAAGAAATGAAAAGAACAGATGGGTAAGTGAAAGGAAAAAGAAAGGAATGGCTATGGAGAAAGAATAAAAATAAAAAATGGAAAAGAGAGGTAAGAAGGAGGGAAGAATCAGAGGAACTGTGTAATAATGGAAAGGAGGGTTGAAGGAAAGGCTGAAAGACGGTTAAAGACAGCTGTGCTTAAAAAGAATGTGAGCAAGGGAGGAACAAACAAACAAACAAAGAAGATAAATGAAGGAAATCAAGAAGGGGTGAAAGGAAACGCAGGGAAGAGACGAGGAAGGAGACATGGATGAGAAACAGAGGAAGCGTTCCAGAGCGGTCCTGTGGGGATAATGAGACATTAGACGACTAACAAGGAACAGACTCCCAGTGTTTGTTTATGGACACTGGAACACAAAAAGAGAAACCACAGGGTCTGTCTTGTATACCATCAACAGCAGCAGAATGATGGGGTCAGATTTTCCCCTGCAGTAATCAGTAGAAGGTGAGACAAAAAAGAAAGGAGTAGAGGGAGAGAAAGAATACGAGGACGAGAAAGTGAGAGGGGAGACAAGGAAAGAAGAAAAAGGGGAGAGAGGATGACCATAATTACCAGAAAGGAGACAAAGACAAAGGAGAGTAACAAGAAAGAAAGAGAGAGTGAAGAATAAAAGGAGGAGAGAGGGTAAAGGCATAGGAGAGGAAGATGAGGAGAGAAAAAAATACAAGATGTTTTAGAATAGTAAGGCAAGGTGGAGGAGAGGAAGAGGGGAGTGTACAAGGAGGGAGTAGGTGAAGGATCATGATGAGAGTACAAAGGAGTAGTAGAAGACAGGAGGAGAACATAACAGAAGGTGAGAAAAACAACAGGTAAGAGAAGGCGAAGAGAGAAAAGATAGACAAAATAGATGAGAGGAAGAGGAGAAAAGGATGAAGGAG